GGGGGGGGGGGGGGTCACTGAGCGCGTGCGAATAGTGCGAGGCTCCCGATTACACCGAAAAGGTCTATAAATGGCAAGTAAGTGTGGAGGCAAGAAACTCATTTGAGGTTCACGTAGAAGTGGCAAGGGAACGAGGCTGCGTTGGAAGCAACAGCAGTAGCGAGAGAGATGAGTCACATTCTAGATGAAGCCGCGATGAAGGAAAAGAACGTGAAAACCAGAAGACCGTGCCTTTGCGAGTCACCTTTGCGGTGCTCTTACTTCACCGATTACGTGTAATACATTACGATCCGCGTTACTTAGGCTTTCATAATCACGATGCATATACATATAATTGATATAACACACACACACACACACACACACACACACACACACACACACACACACATACACACTTATGTATATAGGTATATGCACACTGAAAAAAATATAGTCAATTTTAACAAATATTTAGTTCAATAAATATTTATTAAAATTGACTATATTTTTTTTCAGTGCATATTTTATATATCATTAAATCTGATAGTTGTTCTCTTCTTTCTTGTCTAATCACATTCCTTCCGTTTGCTATTCTTACGATCGTCTTGTCCGCTCGACGTTTCGCAGAGGATTCTGCTAGTATCATAATCTCTTTCCTCCGTATAACGGCCTTCGCATCATCGTCCTTACTAGCGTAAGAGAGTTACGTTTGAAACAGTAACTTTCCCAAGTCACATTTTAAGAGCAATGCGCTAATACAATACACTCCGAATTTAAAGTTTACATAACTACGTAGTTCATAAGGTTTTGCATTTTGTAACGCAATCTCGGGAATTTCAATGCTTCGCGACGCGTCTTTCATATCGAGCCAACTTTCTACATAACTTTAATACAAATTACATATTGTTACAGATACATCTGCGTGTGGATGTTGACGGTGGTCACGCTGAGGTGTCAGGTAAATATATATCTTGCTTGTAACATTACGCACAAGAGAACTTGCAAAGGACACAGACTCTCATAAGAGACAATTTTTTTTCAAAGCCAACCAGTCATGAGAACGCAGAGGTGGAGGGAAACTCCGAAGATTCTGTTATCGACGACACGACCGAGGATTATTGGGCAGGCAGTGGATCGGGACCCGAGGATGAGTCCTCCTCCTCTCACAACGAAACCAGAGAAGCGTTAACTCACGAAGCCAGCGACCACGATACTGTAAGTCACGCATCGCCAATTTGTTTCGCGTTGCGCTCTTTCTTATTGAAATTCATGATAGATATTACACAAGAAGTTTCTCCCCGATTTGTTATTTCTTTGTTCCGTTACCTTTATAGAAACATTTACTTATTTTTTCGTATAACGTTGATTGGTGAAAACAACATGTATAAGAAAAACCAATAAAACACCGATAACGTTGATACCATTAAATTTAAATGGCCCAGAAGATCATATTTTGCAATAAATGTTATAAGATTTTACTGCATAACTTTAAAAAACCAACTTGCTAATTTATTGATTAAGGAAAAAAAATTATTTTAATGTCACACATATATTTTTACTTATATTATTAAGTTATCAAAGCCAGACATTTCAATAGGCAGTAAAATCTTTTATCGGGAGTACTATAGATTTCTAACAATAAATATCGTAGCATGTGACAACAAAGAGGAAAGTGAGAGAAGTAAGAAGAAAGGTGTGCGCGCATCTGCCGTACGTCCAGTTATATTTAATTGGCAAACGGTTTCCTCGAAAGTGGATTAAAAAAAAGAGTTAAACGAGAGCGGAATGGAAAAAAGGAAGTGAAAGAATGATACTTGCCCATCTGTTCAGTTTTGCGTGATTTCTCGTTAACGAATGCTCGCGCGCAAGGCCGGAGAACCTGGATGCAGGTGTTCTGCATCCGCTATGATATTCAAGAGAGTAAAAAAGGGAAGTGCCGACAGTTAACCGCAGCAAAGGCGACGCCTCGGTCGCCGGCGTGTCCTCGATCGAGCGGAAAAATCTTACTGAAGATCCACGCGGCCGATCGTCTTGCTTTCCTCGTGTGACTCTCGTCTTCGCTACGATCGGTATCGATAAAATCGCGAAAGGTCAGTTTTGTAATTGATTTTCAATAAAAATCAATTATTGTACAGGCGCGTTTACTCTCTCCCCGTAATCTTCCTCCTTCCCGCGGTATGTAGAAAATTCCGCAGGCCTTTTCTAAATGAAGGGCAGAAGGGCCACAGAAAGTTGCCTGGTACATCAACACGAGAAGTACCGGAGGGAGGAGAAGCAGAATAAAGGCCATTCCTTTGATTTTAATCGCTCTTTATCGATGATCTACGGATTGCTTTTAAACTAGTTTTCGAGCGGAATCGATTTCGATCGCGAAAAAATATGAACCAGTTTTCCAGTAGAATAGAGAGAAAGGGTATCGCGGCTCGCGGCCACGTCCGTGCGCGACCTTCGTTATATCGCAAATTGCGAGCGGATAAATCGTTTCTTGCACCGCGTGATTCTCCGCAGGGAAAGGCCCCATTACTCGAGAGAAGGCACCAGAAGCAGTTTATTTAGCCTACGAGCGTTCCGTTGCGAAACGGGAGACAAGATCAATTTCATCTGTTCTGCGTACCGCCGTGTTTCCGTCCGTTTCGATTGGAGAGGCGAAGACTAATCACACGGAAATGCAATGCATAGCTTCAAGCTGTCTCAACGACTTTAAATCGTCTTGTGAGAAACTGTGTCCATAGAAATCATTAGTCGATAATCACATAAAAAAAAGCGGTTTTGCTGAAGTATCTAAATATTTGGTTAGATATACAAATCTGAAAATATTTTATTAAACCATGAAAATAATTATGTAGGACGCTCAAGCTCGTTGCTAGAATGTTGAAATTTGTTACAGCATTGCTAATTATATTTGAGCAACCTACATAATTGTTTTAACAAAATGATTTTCGGATATGTATATCTAGATTAATTATTTAGATACTTTAACAAAATCGTTCTTTTTGTAGCTGATTTGACGTAATAGATTATTAATCGTCGGGTATTATCTCTCTCTCTCTCTCTCTCTCTCTCTCTCTCTCTCTCTCTCTCATCACATATTTTATAAAAATTAATGTATGTGAAATAATATTAAAAACAAAAATTTACATAACATTCGCACAGCGTAAAATTAATATAAAAAATTAATTTTTGTTTGGCACATTTTCATAACTGATAAAATTGTTGCATTACTTCACGCTCACACAGAATTCGATCTAAGTACGCTTCGACAAATAATTGAATCTTGAGAAAAAATTCTAGCGAGATAGGTACATTTATCTAAGCCAGCCGAGTGATCTTACTTCAACTTAATGACTTTCGACACTCTAACCGCGCTACCGTTAATCATTGCATGAATGTGCATATCTCGATGCGACTTGATCAAATAAAATCCTCGGAAGAAATTAACATTCACCCGAGAAAAAAATCTGATCCCGTCCGTTGACGTCATCTCCCACTGTAAAACAAAACGAGAAAATCTAAACGGTTACTTGGTATTTCTTCTTTGAAGAAACGTGAGCTTATATCACGGATGTCGATGATCATTAAAGAAAATGTTCTTATTATACACAAGCTACTGAATTCAATGTCAAATTGCTCTCATCGCCGGATGCGTACAAATGTTAATGCGTACAAATATTACCTTGAATTGCTTCCAACAAATGCTAATTTTCGAAACAGTTATTGGAAATAGATTTGTGTTAAATTAAAACTAATAAGTTCTTCGAAGAAGAGTCCACAAAACGGAAGACGTTGTCGTGCGAGGAGTACCGATATGGGATCGAATCGGCCGCGTATTCGACACGAAGGAGCATTTCGTGTTATTGCATTTCCTACGTAGCCCAGTACAGTTAATGCCAAAGTAGCCGTAGTTAAGCATAGCAGGAGTCGAAGGTAATCGGCACTTATCGTCCGTAATACATTCCGATGAGATACCCGCGGAAGATTCAAAGACCGCCGGTCATTTTCCGCGGAACGTAGATCAGACACCAGCGGTTGGGCCCAGTTTCTTGCCAAAGGAACGATCTCCTAACTACTCTACTGGCCCATAAACGCCGTACGCCACTTCGCTCGTCGGGGTCCGTTCCGTTTCCCGGCAGCATCGTACTCGAGTTCCTGAAATTCCTCAAAAGTGGAATCCGTGAAGAGAAGCAATTTTCCTGCCGATCTGTGCGCGCGGTAGGGTGGCAACCTATGTCGCATCGAACGTCGAGAGCACAGGCGGAACGTCATCGAGAATAGTGCGAACGGTGAGAGAAAGAACATGGTAGGAAAAGAAGGTGAAAAAGAATCGGGAAGGATGAGGAGGCGGCCGGAATGGAATGGCGATTTTTTCGTTACGGCGTATGGAGGCTGTTCACAAGTTTTTTTTCCTTCATCGCTTCGCGTTCACCACTAACCACGTGCCCGTCCTCCCCTTTCTCTCCCTTTCCGCGGCCGATTCGCCCGAGTAAGTATCTACCTGCCCGTGCTCGTATCGTGCTCGCTGACTGCTCGCTGACAAGCGGCTCAAAGTACAATATCCTTCCCTTCGTCCACCTCCGCCGTCGTCATTTTATTCGGTCTTCTTGCGTCTCTTCTTGCGCACGGCACCCGTACACGGATGGAATGCCTCGGGTACCCACGCTCGGACAGGGGAATGAGCTCGTAAAGCGTTAGTCACGCGCTACTCGTGCTGTCCGTTTTTCAGACTTCCTCGTCAGGTTCTCTCCAGCAGCGTCCCTTTTCGCCTGCCTGGACTCTCCGCCAACGCCGCGCCAATACCGCCGTACCTCCCTCTTCCGCATGTTTCTCCTCTTCGTCGTGGTCTCGACCCCCGATGCTTTTTCTCGCCCTTTCTCACCGTTCGAGCGGTAGCGATCCGTACAAGCTGAGGGTTAAACCGAATCGTTAACGTAGGAGAGGTCAGGGCTCCCGCTCGACAAGATAGTTTTGCATAGTCGTATCGCGAGAGGCTGTGTACGCGAGAATATTTTGCAGGAATCCCGCTTCCAACCGCAATGCGCGGGCTAACGGCTTTGAACCTGCAAATCACTACTTGCGACTCGTTAGCGGATTCTTCGTATTCATTTTCCGAACTCCCCATATAAATATCATTAGTAGCATCAGGAATATAGCACGGGTGACTGCTTATTAGGATCATTAGCGTGAACGATCAAATCTGAACATAGATACTGAATCGTTTTCTGATACTAACTACGCTATGTAAAATATGCAATGCATAATACATTACATAAACATCGATTATCAACTTTTTTACGAAACTGTGATTATTCTGAATAATTGAGTGAACATTACGTGTATTACTTTAATTTACAATAATTAAGCGTATAGTGACAAAAATTTTTTAACATATTAAAATGTAATAAAATTGTCACTGCAAAAAATTTTGATGGTTTAGCAATTAGTTTTTCCAACAAAATTATTTTAATGGTTTAATAAAATTAGTTTTTAGATCTGCATCTAAAAATTTATATTTTTCAGCAAAATCATTCTTTTTGTGTAGAATCAATTAACATTATTCACTATTCATAAAAGACACATATATTTAATTAATTACTAATTCTCAAATATATATATAATATGTATATATATAATTGAAAATATAAATAATGTATTCATAATTATCAAAGAAATAATATATTAAATCATGATATACGATGAAACATATATGATGCAAATAACAATTATCTGTACTAAATTAAAAAGTATTAAAATTATATTAATAAATTCTTCTCTTTCCTGGAAGGTCGTGTACATTGGCGATGGCGCTAATTACGTGCCAGTTCCTTCATTGAATAATCGACCGTTGAATCCGAATCTTCAAGCGCTTCAAACTCTTCAAGGCTTGCAAGGCCTTTCTGGAAACGGAGGTACAGGAGTAGTCGGCGATGAAGACTGGAGGAGACATCCAGAAACCTGGGATCGCGAACACCGAAGATACAGGCCCAATACGACGAGAGTGCAACGTAAGTACGAAGACAGCGTCTTTTATTTTGTTGAATTGCATTATTATTACTATATATAAACAGAATTGATGATAATTTTAAAATAAATGGTTTCTCGTAAGTGCCTTAATTAATAGTCTCAACAATCTGCTTGTGCTTTTTCGATGAGGTAAATTAAATATAAATCAAGTGGATATGCTGTATAAGGTAATTACTCTTCAGCCCGCACAATCTCCCGAGCTAATAGAAATTTCCTGGTTTGTAAGTAGCTGTAATGGCGGCTTGCATCAAGACGCTAATTCAGCGGAAATACGTTACGAAAGGGTATTGATTATGTCGATCTATAGAGCCAATAGAAATCTCTATTTGGTCGATAATGGATTATCGATTCAATTTATCTTGTGATTACATTATTGCGTTCACGCATGAAAGAGATTATACTTCATGGAATGTATTTAGAGTAAGAGGACGTTCGAATAATGGAATAGCATAATATCGGGGCGTAAACGAGGATCCGCTATTTCCCGTCCGAATAAAAGCACCGACAAAAAGCGTCTACGGTATCGCTCTGGTGGGTCAGTGTGCCTCAGAGGAAAGAGCGGTGTTGTCGTCGCTTTAGCATGTCGATCCGTTATTTTTCTCTCCATTGTCCGGCAAAAGGCCGCAGCCTGTGAGGATAGCGCGTGTTATAGGACAAAGTACTTCCCTCCGGTGTCTCGGTCGATTGACTTGGAAGAATCGCAGTCGCGCTCCGCGCAATATATCCGTCCATCTCGGTCCGCAGCCTAGCGCGCCCGGGAATTCAGAGTGTGATGGCTACCGTTAGAGAGAAGGCAATTAAAACGGTGTCGGAAAGTCGTACGACGCTCCTGACATCGAGGGTACGGAGGCAGAGATACACCACCTTGCTTGCAGCACCTTCGATGGCATCTGCAATTGTCGTCATCGTCGTCATGGGCCCGAGGATCGTCATCATCATCCCGCGCGATCATCATTATCCGCATGTGGATCACGATTGCCTCGTGGAAACTCGAGCACACGGCCCGTGCAGATATCTGGTCGCGTATATGTTATGGCGCCGGTAATCGACGACAGCTCGTCTCTGACATCGCTTTTTCTACGAGAAAATTGCGACGCCGCGTCGCAATGAAAATGATGTTTATGAGGGGCCGTTACGTTATTTTTTCCTTTTTATGCCGACGCGTACCATGACGTGAAGTTATGTCGTCGAGTCCGCGGGAATTCTTTGAATGATTTAATATTATCTTGAATACATACGGTATAATATATGATGTAATATACTGTGAGATTATCCAAGCTGCAGTTATTATTTTATGATTTTTTTCATGCTGTATATCATCTTTTATAGCGTTCGATTTTATGTACGCTGAAAACGCTATCGAATCACATTTATACAAATAATAAATTTACACGATCACAATTTTACGATTCAGCGATGGAGTCGTTACCTCTATATATAAATTAACTTTACAATGAATTTTCTATCCTGTTCAAAATCCTGTCTCCACAAAGGCTTAATCCAATGATGCCTCATTAAAACTTTAATCGGTCGCTTCAGTTTTAATCTCATGTAGCGGGTGTGCGGTAGTAATTAATGCCAGTAGAACAAGACATTAATAACGCCGGTGTAATATCCCGTTATGAAAGAATAATAGACTATGTCCTGTGAAAACAAAATTAATTTTCTACGCGTGCGTATAATTTCTTATGTTACACATATGTGTTACGCTCATCCGCCGCGTATGCGATTTTTCTGGAACATCGAAGTTTATTGTAAATGCCTGAGCACTCACTGTCCGTGCATATGGCGAGTAATCAACATAGCAAGAGCATCACTGCCTGATACTCCCGGAGAAAATTATTAAATTACAGTGTATTTCATGATAATATAAATAAATAATATTTACGGGATGGAATCGTATACAAGCCATTCTCAAGCCGCCCTTCAGCGAATCCTTTTAATTGCGTTTTGCGGAAAATTACGGCCATACTGGAAACCGCGTTGTGAGAAAAATCCTTTAACGACGCATCGTTCCCTTCGCTCATTCGACCAGAACGAAACGTCTATTACACCACTTCTTACATTTTTGCCGTTTGCAATCATTTCTTAACTAAATAATTATACGGTAATTTGTTTCACTGATACCTATTATTCACGTGAGATGAAGATACGATCATCTATTATTTATAAATATTTATAAAGAATTAATACTATAGAATTAAAAATTATAATTCCGAAATATCACAACATGCGCTTATATACAAAGCGTTGCAGCATCGCTTTTTTAATTGCAAGACAATGACTTCTTCCATAGTGTAGGTATCGAGAAGAATTGAATTATAAGTGATTCACATAAATCTATTTCGCTCTACTTCATTGTGATAAATCATTCTATGCGCATTTAAGAAAACTCGACCGTACAATATCAATCAGATTCTATTTTTTAAAAGATCGATGTGCCGAAGCCCTTCGAGACGACGGGACGATCGATGATCGCATTGCTACGGTAAATTTCCTAAAACATTTGGATGAGCCTGCCACTGGCAATGACGAATGCTACGCCCGGCCTATGAAGCTCGCTGGTTCAATGAAGTCGTAAAGTCGAGCCGCTCGTTCTCTGCGGGAACTTGAGGCCACCCGCGGTATCGTCAATTACGCGAAAGAGAGCCCATTAGGTTTAATGTATCCTCCTCGGCAACACTCGATTCTCAAACGTCCTCGAAGTTCATTTTGCTACTTCTTTCCCTCTTGCTTCTCCCACGAGGTTTTTTTGCTACGTTCCTTTCTTGGAATGTTTTCCAACTAATTTGGATTCGAATCGATAAATAAAGATGCTAAGTATCAAAAGTTGAAGTCGACATGTTAAAACCAGCACCAGAGTTTTAAGGGAACCCAACGATATCCTCCACGTTTTTCCGTGACCACTCTCGGCACATTCGAGCAAATATCGGCGTTGCTCAACTCTTCCCATTGTCTGTCTACTGACAGAGTTTTGCCGGACGATGAACACAAAGCACGTATCCGCAATTCTAATAAGCGCGTGCGTATACGTGCGTGTACGTACGTGCGGCCGCTCGAAAATGCGCTCGACACATTCGCGACGGCGCGATGCGTAGGACGAGGGTGAAACGGAACGGTTGTATCATCGGCATGCGCCTCCGGTGTAACTATCTTCTCATCACTATCCTTTACTTTTCTTTGAGTCTATAACAAGCATATGTCGGCTTTTTTCTCATCTTTTTTCCATTTATCTAAATGAAATCAACAATAATCCATTTTTATTTACTAATAAATATTAATAATTTATTGCGGGTAATTTTAAAAGTACTATAAAAGTTTTATACCATTTTTATAGATAAGTATCTTCTTTAAAAAAAAATGCGTCAAAAAATTTATTTGACAAAATTAATTTAAATTAAATTAATTAATTTTGCGACCCTATTTCGATAACGATGATATCCTTATATGATGAATATCATCCAATGATGATATTCAATTAAGTATAGCGTTCGTCAAACATATTCAGGTGTCATGAGAGGATACCATCCTACGATGACGGTGTGCGTGGGATGAGCGTGGGTCACGAAACGAAAAGGTTGTATCATCGGCGGACACCTCGAGTGTAACTATCTTCATCCTCCATCAATCTCCATTCCGCTTTGCGGTTACGTTACTACAGTGGAAACGGCTTCTTACCACGAAGAGCGCCTATACGGGACCCCCAACTTACTTTCACTCGTCATCGACGACCGGTTTTCCACTCGCTCCTATCCGCAAATCTGCGATTTTCCGCGCCCGGTTTCTTCATACAAATGACGACAGGCTCTCTTGACCGCGAACATACGCCCACCCTATGATCGATCGACACGTTTCCATCTTCTGTGATTAAGTTTTGTTTGAATACGAATGCACATTTCAAAATGACAATTACCGGACTCGATATGGTAACGCTATTTTTACACTATCTTGAACATTTCCTGACTGAGAAAATTTTTTTGCGAAAGAGAATTATCTATTGCGTTTCATTAAATAAGATAGATCTTTGGCTACAAATAATTTTCTTGTAAAAATCTATCGATTGTAACACCAATACGTTTAAATTCTTTAAATCTTATTTAAATAGTACTCGTATAAATATGGTTCAAACCGCAACTATTTGAAAAATTAGTTTATCCTTTAATGCGTATGTATAATACTTAATACATATTTTTTAAAATTATTACTACATTGATTTATTATCTAAAATTTAATTCTTGCTAAATATAGACACAATAAGTAGACACAACATCGATTTTTTTGTCAGTTTGTATATACACAGTTTTCCATTTCTCTTTCAACATCAAAGATGCCACCTAGACCTTCTTAGTTTCGCAAAGAATTAAAATGCAGATAGAGAATTTATCATGTTGCTGAATCAACATAATTATACGTATAATGAAATATAAAATAATGGAATGTAGATTTAATCGCAAGGTTGGAGAAAACGCGTGTAAATAAAAATTAAAATTTATTATACAATTTTTTAAATCGACTTATTGAATAATTATTAATTATATGTTAAATAATAATTTTTTACATCTTATATTTTAGATATCGAGGCGGAATGTCAAGACGATTACATGAAAATCAGAATCGGATTCAATGGATCTTTCACCGGCCTTTTGTATTCTGCAGGTAAAGTTCAATTATATTAATGAATAATTATTTCTAGCATCGTGCAATTTACTCAAAATTTTTTTATTAAATACCATTATATTTTTACAATATTAAATGCAAGTAGCCAAACAATAACATAATGAGACTAGAGTTTAAAAATTGCTTTTGACAAAAGATTTATGTAAATATTGCGACGCGAATTATACAAATGGTGCGGTATCGAAAAAGTGATGATGTTTAGAATTTTACGCTATATTCTCTATTACGGTCAAGAGATTCGACATAATACTGTATCTAAAATATGTGACTGCATAACTGGCTGCATTGCTGGTCCGCAATTACGTCGGTAGACAGTGAGACGAGTATACGTCCGCGCTAATGAGGTAATGGCGGAAATTATCGTAAAGCGATCGGCGGTCGTCCACATCGGCCGCACCAGAATTTTTCTTTCACCGTCGTAAGTCCATCTGTCCGGTCTAGTAAGATACTTCCGTTATTTCGAAAGAAGCGTATCGCGGCCGTGCCTTCTGGCAACGATGTACCGGCAAAAACGGCATCATCGTCAAATGATTTCTTTACAAATTATTCGATGAGAAAGACGACCTCTTCTTGAACCTTGCATCTGCTTAATATCCATTCTGCTAATCCGCAATTTTCTCGTTGATCGTTAATAAGCCCGTTAATCAATATTTCAATAATGAGCTAAGTGCCTTTGTGCCAACGCGGATGTGGTAGCTTCGTAAAACACTGAGGCTTTCTGATTGAATCTAGCAGGACAACTAAAAAGTCAGATTACCTTAATCCCCGACTTCCTAATTCCGGCGCTAACGAGTATACTTTGCGTTTTTTTCCTCATTTACTCTTTGCCGCTCATTTGCCGCTCGCGATGAAAATGCATCAACGTCCCGCCTATTCTTCGCAACGCGGTCTGTATAGTCGAAATGCCGTGAGGTAGATTGTTTGATAGAGATATCGGTCGATATTCGATATCCGATATCGAACATGGTCGTATCATAGACGACCGCGTTCCGGATGAACAAGAATAATCGTTTTTAATTGCAGGCTACTCGTACGATCCCGATTGCATGTACGTTAATGGGACGGGCCGAGACTATTACGAGTTCTACATTCAGTTGAATCGGTGCGGCACCCTCGGCGAGAACACTCATCATCAGGACAGCAGGAAGAATCCGACGGTACGTAAAATAGACGAGCGCCGAGCGCATCGCGGAATGACGGATCATTACTTTAGTGTGTACCGGCGCCGGTCGACAAGGAATAATAATGATTAACAACACCGGGGAAAAAATGAGGAAGACTTATTTTTAATCTTGATAATTAGAGAAAATTAGATGTCACATCGCGCGTAGATCGCGCGGGAACGTATAGACACCGCTATTGCTGGATTCACGTGAGAAATAAGACTCAATGACGTATTACTCTTGTCTTTCCAGAAAAATCTTATGTGGAACACGGTCACAGTGCAGTACAATCCATTAATAGAGGAGGAGTTCGACGAACATTTCAAGGTGACTTGCGAGTACGGCTATGACTTTTGGAAGACGGTGACATTTCCTTTTCTCGATGTCGAGTGAGTGGTCCATCTTTTTACTTTTGAAATAAAGTGTTAATAATGGGTATTTCTCAAAACGTCAAAATAGGCTTCAAGCGTAGAAACAGTACAAAGGGTCACATTCCATCTCGTCTGAAACCTTCGATTACGCGAACTCGATGGAACGTTTCACGCGAGGCGTTTACGTAATATCTACGATAATGTCTAACATCTGTGCTATCCTGCTGGCGCGAAGTAGGCCGTACTGCTCGCGAGATAACGGATACGCATTCTTCCTGCCTCTTACGCACCCACCTTCTTCCAGGGTCGCCACGGGAAATCCCGTAGTCTTCACCCTGCAGCCTCCGGAGTGCTACATGGAAATCAGATACGGTTACGGGACCACTGGAACTAGAGTGGCTGGACCAGTTCGTGTCGGAGATCCTCTGACTCTCATTATCTACATGCGCAGCAAATACGGTAAGCCTTATATGTAGTTTAACTGCAGCTTAACGGCGGCTTCGTAAAATCGTCATAATGGATTCGACCTACTAGGAATGGACAACAATGCTCGAAAAAGACAATAGGAATTAAATAACAGTTTTTAATACCGAATTAATAAGTAATTAATCATTATCTTACAGTATTAAGTTTCTATAACGGATATCAATTAAATTATACATATATCACTTATATTTTTACGATAAATTAATTTATTACTTTCTTAGAAGCGCTTTTGAAAATAGAACTAATGGGAGAGTCTATAATTTAATTGAATCTAATGTTTGTTTGTGTAAAACATAATTATAAAATATTAATGAACTGCGTTGTATTGTTATATTTAGCAATAAACCTTCAAGACAAAAAGTTTATAAAATTGAAACAAAAAACGAATGTGCTTGCAAATTGTTTACAATACGTATTTTCGTGTATTTGTTTTTTTATTCGATGCTCAGCCTAATCATATGACGTCCGATTCTATCAAGCTATGATTCGACAGCGATAACGGTATAAGATGAACAGCAGAAGACTTTGTTAGTCAGCTAGTCAGTCTGAGCTCGGTAATTTGCGAAAGATGCGGAAATGCTGGCGAGAAGATATGAAAATGTATGTGCTTTGACGTAACGACAGATGTCTGTACTTTAACTAGTCAGGCTTCTGTATTTACGTCTACATCACTTATGTCATGCAAATCTATGTCAGAAGGTAGAGGACGTTAGATCTTATTCCCATCTTGGCGCTTATGACTAATTGATTTTGTTATTGTGACATATATATTTTATGAAGCTAATCATCGCTTTTTATCTAATCATAATAAATTTTTAAGAACAGAATCTTTAAAAATCTTTAAGAACAATTCTCTACATCACTTAAAATTGCAATCTTTCTTAAATTTGCTTAAATCTTCTGTAATTTATGAGTTAATACTTTATATTATAACGTTTTAAATGTTATCGTTTTTATAGATAGTAATAGATTTGACGATATTCAGATAAATGTGAATATTTATGCCGATTTTTTTTTTGTAGATGGTTTTGATATCGTCGTAAATGATTGCTACGCTCATAATGGCGGAAACAAAAGGATTCAACTGATCGATCAATACGGATGTCCGGTTGATGACAAACTGATCAGCCGGTTTCGCGGTTCCTGGTCGGAGAGTGGCCTGTTTGAGACGCAAGTTTTTGCTTATATGAAGACCTTCAGGTTCACGGGATCGCCGGCTCTGTATATCGAATGCGATGTTCGCATGTGCCACGGAAGATGTCCGGTAACTAAATATTTTTTAGCGCGTTACTACTTGATTTCATTCCATTCTTGATCTATTTAAGTCAGGTAGTAAGCAGATGTTACTGTCATCATTTTGTCGTAATAAATGTCAACACAAAATGTCGTAGTAAATGTCATTTTAACATCAAATTGATGACAAATTGATGGCAAATGATGTTAGCTTGCTACCTGATTTTTTTTATCTCTTTAATCTATTTAAGTGTTTTACGCTCATTAAATTTGATTAAATATTCTAGAAATTATTTACTTTTAAAATAGTTTAGTTATTAATTAATGCTCTATCATAAAAATTTAATATTTTGTTATGTGTGTGTATCGTATTTAATTGTTTGGGTATATATTACGTACTTTTGAATTTTTACAGTTAAATTGATAATTTTTGAAAATATAAAAAAGTACTGTGAATATTCTAATTTTCAAGCGATGTTTTTATGCTATTTTGCATCTTTCTGTTATTTGGGCTTGAAAATAAATTAGTGTCCCAGTCTTATAAATATTTTTAATTTAAACGATTCATCCGTATTTCAGAGCCAACCTTGCCATTGGAGAAACGCGAAGAATGTGGTGAAGCGGTCAGTGTCGGAAATCGATGGATCATCGACGCCGGCAACTAGTTTGTCGGAGAATGTGAACCTCTTCCAGTCTCTTCGTGTTCTTCAGGAAGGCGAAGCGGACACGGAACTGTTCCAGAATTCCACTAGCTTCTCTCGCAGCGGTAAAGAAGATATACATATACATGTCAAACATAACATTTTACTGTTAGAACAATTACATGTCAAGCCATGCATTTATCATAGCTTCGTTCACTAAGAGATGCTCTACTTTTTTTTTTATTATAATTACGTAATGGCGAGCACCGATTTAAAATGAACGAAGCTTGCATATAAAATTTTGCAAATTTTAACTTATACTCTACATATGATGCTTCAATAAAACTAAGCAAACAAATAATGAATTCATTTCAACAATTATACTAGTTTATAAAATTTTGTGCAAGAGCATATGAAGACTATTTTTAGAGTAGAGAATTAAAATCAAGCAAATGTTTAATATGTATATCTTAGTGTTAGATGAGGCATTAGAATTATTACAATTACAATCTTTTTAAATTTAAATTTTTTTTACATAGGATTTAGTGAGCCTACGACTGACAGAGTATGTTTGAGATCTACAGTGGCCAGTACAATAGTGGGACTCGGCTGTGGTTTCTTCTGTATCATGGCCGGTATGATACTAGCCATGTGTTCGCGAATGCGGCGACAAGCGCGAGAAAAATTATTATCGGACAGTATAAGCTATATGACGCACCAAGGTCGAATCAACTAGGGTAATATTTTTAGCATGCGGAGATCTATTTCTTCTCGCTTCATCTCAATCAGTTGCGATATCCTCGCATCTTTCGCAGCAAGTGGAGCTGACTAAGGAACTGCTCCGCCGGTAATATAAGAATGCGTCGTTAAAATAGGAAATGGTCGATATAAATGACTGAACTTCGAGCTACTGATAAATCGACATTGATGAAAATGCGATTAAAACGCGGTGATAAATTTATTATTTTTATAAATCGGAAGAATATCAGATTTGTAAACAATTTAAGAAGAGTCTTTTTACATACTCTACTCTTCTTTCAATTAACTTCTTAAGGTAAGCATGGGATTAATACAATGCGAAGTGCCTTATGTATTTTGATAGTCGTCGATAATTCAGGCTCCCATGGATATAATAGGTCTCATCGATTCATTGTGTGCGAATGCTTTTTTATATAAATAATATTCGCTGCTATACTCTCGCTTCTTTTAATTATTGAAGTGTTAATCGATACTCATTCGTCAATTGATGTATATGTCGCGATTGAAGTATCTGTGACGAGTTATCGCTCATCGATAAATAGAGGTAGAAATCATCGATATTGCTACGATCTCGGTGCCGAATGTGCGTTCAACGGAATTCGATCTTTACTGCGTCGATCGGTAATTTAACACAGTTTACTTGCGATCGACATGGTATCTTCTTTTTTTTTATTGTCTTTTTTGATCTCGCATACGGCACATTTAGAGATCAAAACGAACGTAACGTCAGTAACGACGCTTAATTGCCGTTGATAAGATTCAGTACTTATATGTGTCTATCTATGACATTACTCGCCATATTCAGGAACGTGAAAATAAATTTTGCTACCGATTCACTTAATAAATTAATTAATACGTGAATTGATGAATAAATAGAAAGAATATCTAATATTCAATTTAACAAAGTTAAACGAAACATATAAACATCACCAATTAAAGTATTAATTAAAAATTATCTTTTATAACAAAATAATTATAAAAACGTTATAAGAGAAATTAATCTTATTAATATAAATATATTTGTTTTTAAACATATTTACATAAATACGTATAAAAAAAAGTACTCTTCTGCAGTTTTCTCGTATATTAAATTAACGTATAATCAAAATATATCGTTGCACAACATTTGAAAAGCAAAACCATTTTATAATTCTTAGAAATCAAATAACTTTATGTCGTTTTGCACTTAATCGATGCATATATTTATTTTACAACACGAAGCATGAACAAAAATTAAATTATTTATTTAATTGGCGACCTAATCTCGTCGTTCCTGAATGTTCGTGAATAATGTGTTAAGGTTTAACTGAATATCAATTATATAACAAACGAATATGCTTAGGTTTATAATACTTATATATACATAGCATCAAAGGTGCGAACCCTATACTATAATAGAAAGAAGAAGAATAGAACACAAGCAAATTACATGGAATCGCATCGGGTGTACGGCCAGCGAGGATTAAATAATATTTTACAAGACCGCCCCGCCAAAGAGTCGCGTAGCTCAGTTCTCGTCTTAATATTTATTCAGAAATTTGCCGAACCTCGCGCGATTTTTCGCCACTGTGTGTGAAATATTAATTTCCCCTCCTGGTTGTTCCCCTCTTTACACGTTTCGTATAATTTAACATTACAGCATCTCTCCGATTCTCATTACTCCACACATTGATCCCAAGTTCCCGTGCCCCTCTCCCTTCCGTTATTTGAGCATCAAGCTAAGTATCCGGAATCAACTGCTCGATTAATTATCTGTAAATATAGTGTTGTATCATGACTCATAATATTTATGATTAAGCTCGAGTGTATCAAGGTTTCCAATAAATAATAGAAGAAGATTGCGTTCTGACATGTCTTATCTGACGTTCGTACCTCGTATAAATACAATGTTAGCCTCTTACTAATGGGAATGACTTATGATATTAACGAATAAGTTAAAAGCGATCTTATCTCAACCAGTCTTAAAAAAATTTAAAGAATTTATTCTGAAATTACATTTTATTTTTGGTGCAATCTTAAGACGAGAAGCAACTGTTTTAATCAAAGTTATATTTATATCTCCTTTCTCTTTTTCTCTCTCTCTCCTAATAATAAAGTTTTGGTTTTATTTTATATTTTAATTTACATCCGTTTTATGGTTTATTTTCTACTATCTGATAATAATTTAAAATATATGTGTCATTTTATTTAATCAGTAAAATTATATATGTAATCGCATATAATCTACAATAACATATATTATATATTTATATTATATATATTCATAAATGTATATGCTATTCACGATGACATATGTGATCGCTCGCGAAAGGATCCAGAAACCGGCATGACGAAAGCCTGAGATCTACCTGACTGATCTTGAAAAATTTCAGATGTTTCGGGTCATAATGGTCACGGAACGGAACAAATCGTGTTTCTCCAACAGCGCATTCGTCTTATGAGATGGATCCAAAAACGTCGGTCAATCGCCGCCCGTAAATGGGATGCCCCCGATGAAAAGTGAAAACTCCTTGCAATATCTCATCCGCAAGATGAACCGTGACCGTCATTTATCGTTCGATCCCTCGATAACGAAAAAAAAACGCGCTAATCGCCGAACAGTCGGTTCTCGATTCAGCCGACATGAGAAAAACATTATTCGAGGACAGTTTCCGCTTTAATTATTTATAAGATATAAGATGAAGTGATGAACAGGATGGATCTTAATGGCTGAATTTATATGGCGCACTATTTGTTTAAACTTAGAGATAATTGGTTGACAAAAAAGACTGAACATTGTACAATTTTATGTATTAGATACAAAATGAAAAGAAAACAATGTTAATATGCATTCTACATCAAAATATAAAATGATATATAAATAATATATTCTTCTCTCTCTCTTATATTATAATAGATTTATTAATTATATAAAGAATAATATTATAATAACAAGTTTTTTCAGTAAGGATTTATATTATATAAGATAAAATGATCTTTGATATAGAATTGGATTTTACTTAATGTTATTAAAAAAGAGAAAAAATATCACACGTTATCGCGATTGATTCTATTTGTTTGTGACCTAATTATCTTTGTGTGCATTAACCAAATCTCAATGTCGCCAAATTCTTTCCAAAAAGAGGCGTTACCAGCCATGGACCTTATTGTGCAGCAAAAGGGCAATCATCCGCAGTAACGAACTGTCTCGCTCGCCTTCCATGCGGTAATTAATCAAGCCACAATAAATTAATTGCCGCTCCGGCAAGAATTAATTGCCATCCCGACAATAATTATGGCTAACGCAGAAATAATTATCGTGCATCCCAGCAGAGCGTTGATCCTCGCCCAACGATAATCCGCGCTCGTAATTCGATACATACGTATATCACGATCGATCGTTCTTTGTGCGCACGACCTCTTGTAAAACCAATTTAATTTCAATAAAATAATCTTTTTAAATGTGCAGAAATCATTCCGAGACAAATTTCGTAATAATGTCCAGATAAAATTATTCTGCGAAAGAGAGAAGGGAAAAACATCCTGGTAAACTATATTAAAAGAAACATTATATAAGTTTGCTATTATTGTGGATTTTCTATAATACAATAATAATAATCCGTAATCAATTATTATTTTAGAGAATTACATAGCTATTTTATTATACAAAAATGAATTAAAAAAATTTATTAGAGGTCATCCGTTTTTTTTTCTATTCTTCCAAACAACTTCCGAAAACATAATACCTCCAAAACGGTTTTCATGAACGTTTCTCATTCATTCGGGAAAGGCGTATGGGTAAGAATGTAAGAAGAAGAGGAAGGTAAAGAACTGAGAGACAGATAGAACCACGAGAAGAAGAAGGGGAAAAGGGCGGATATCAAAATGAAATCTCACAGGCTAATAAATACTCGGTTATCGCGGGTAATCGAGTTATCGCACGATACGGAGTCGAGAGGCGGGGTTTTACCGGGTGCGAATCACCAATACACCGTCGACCCGCACGTACGCATAGTATACATACGAGAGCCCGCATATGTATCTGTTTTACTTGACGTGCCACCGTGTGTATCCATGCCGTGGCACGTGTGTGAGCTCGGCACCGCACTTCGCTTACATACGCCTAAATAAAGTAGAGGTGTGGAGTGCCGAGATAGCGCCTGGCGGAAGTTACGTTTGGCTGCGATCGCGTTCTCTGGGCCACGTACCAAAGTTTCTTGTATATCTTAAAAGGGGACACCATTAAAATACTGATGACTTAAAAGCACGGTCGCGCGGCTATAAATTGACTCGCGAAAATAAAATAAAGCATCAAATTCTTTTCATTGGCCGGTGATTTAGCCTGTAACTTGTAGAGTTCATATAAAGAAAGTTTTTAAGAATATCACTGATCATTTTTGACGCACGAGAAATATACAGACAATATATTTTTTTATAAATTTATAAAAGAGATAATTATTTTATCTTTAATTGTGTAAATATATCTTTATATTAGATGGCAAATTATATGTAGTAACAGTAATATATTTTGTAGTTTCTGTGTAAATGTTTTAAATATTATATAACATAATGGCAGTAGATCGTATATATCAATATTATAGCTTACAAAAAATTCATTGACAAATTAGGGGATGCTGGAGTGACCAAATTATTACATTACAGTTGTATAAAAATCTTCGAATTGACCGAACGGAATAAAGAATCTTTTTACAGAATTGAAGTAGACGCAAAATTAGGAGGTGGTGCAGTGGATTTTATATTAAAATCGAAAAAAATGTTAAAAATGTTTTAACTTTTTTTCGATTTTAGTACAATAAGCCACTGCACCACCTTCTAATTTTGTGTCTACTTTAATCCTGTAAAAGGTTTTTTATTCCGTTCAGTCGAAGATTTTTATACGACTGTAATGTAATAATTTGGTCATTCCAGCATCCCCTTAATATGTAAATATTTCTATAAACTTAATTTTAATTATAAATTTACTTTTGCAAATTATTATAATTACTGTAGGAAAGAATAATTTTATTTGCAAGTTATAATTTTACATTTGTGTAAGTATATACACCTTTAATATTAGATCCAAAAATTACTATAATTGTTGTAACTTTATATATTATATCATTTTTTTTATAGTGTAAGAATTTTTTAATAATTAATATAGCGGTCTATTCAGCAATCATTTGTTTGTTAAGCCTGAAAAAAGTGTCATCGGCCATGAACACGTTATCTTATCATCTCTTTACTCTGTAAAAAATATTTTACCTTCGTCGGACAATGCGATCGATTAAACGATATCGTTTCCAATCGAATCGTTTCGTTGATCACGGCTGTCTGTTTCTCATTGCAAACCATAAATAAGATTGTCGGGCGTTTGCCAGAGGTACTTCCCCGTCAGATAAGTCTGATAGATGCACCTCCGTGATTTCCCTCGCGAATATAGCTCTCGAGTCTTCTCGCGTGATCCCACGAAATTTAGCGCCTGCAGCGCGGTGCATTATTGCGATCCGGAGCAATTT